ATTTAAAAACAAAACTCAAAAGACAGACTTCTAAAACTAATATCTAATATTAGTGTTCTCCATTTGTTAGTGTTATGAGGAAGCATGCTGACAGTTGTTTAGTCAGATAACCCGTTCAGATTACTCTGAAGATTCTTGATGTACATGAGTTTTGGTTTCTCCTTCCCAAATCTCTGGATCACCTACACAAAAAAGCGGAAGAAAGTATAGTTGATAAACTGTCATTATAGAGAGCAAGTGAAATCGGTACAGGTGTGTGAACTTCTCTAACTTGTCATTAAGCGCATTTTCGTTTAAAGTAAAAAAATAACGCAGGAGAAAGAAAGAAGTTTGCTAAGATGCTTTAACCTCACTCGCTTTATAAAGTCTGATTACTCAGTGAAATCCATTTCAGGCTGATGAGAAATGTAACTTCGTAAGTAACCTCAAGAACCCCTGACAAAAGGACCGTTTTTCTTGATCTCGGAGAATCGTCCTTTAAACTTTATGGTTAAGTGCCAACAGAACCAAGGCCATCATTGGTTCAACTTCTTTTTCAGATACCTCAAAAAGTAGTCTTCCACAGTCCGACCACCTGGGTTATGCTAGCTGCCAACAAATTCTAAAAGCGCTTCATGCTAAGGACTAGTAAACTTTCAAATATTACTTCTATCCCTATTGTCTGTCCTTATTCTGTGATCCAGTCATTTCGCTCACTCCGTACTGATTTGAGCGACTACAGTTCACGAATAGCCACTACCGTTCATATAAAACCGCTCTCCGTATTACTTATTGGACTTTAGACTAACACGAGCACGCTTCAGTTCAAATCTTATCGTAGTCAGGAAAATGACGACAGTATTACAAAAGCTACTCAGAACCTCCAAGTAAATTCAAAATTAGTCTTACATGGTTATAATCGATCGTCAAAGGTAAAGGTATTAAATATTTTTTGAATCAAAATACTACTGCTACAGATGGACTACTAAAAGCTCGATAGTTTCCAGTTTGGAGTGGGAAATCGATGTATAAAACAGACTACACAATCACGTACTTTACTAACATTTTGGATTGTAGTGTCAGTTATTATGCCAAGCTCATATACCTTATTCAAGCTTTCGGTCATCCCATTCTATTCATTTTACTTGAGCCATACATTGACCTTGTTATTTATTCGTTTATCAATCTAGACTGTTTTTATATGAGCGTATATGTGTGTGCCCTTCTTATCCCATTAATCACATGTCTGTAGCTTTATTTTGTCTGACTATAAATATTGAGTGACGCTTCACAAAGAGGGAGTTGGCTTCCCAGCCATCTTCCATACGTGTCATTTTTGCTTTGCTATGCTTCATTCGCTTCATGTACGAAATATATGAATTCTCAAGTCAATGCTCGTTATTGGACTTATTTAATTCCGTTATTGGATAACGCGATTTAAGTCGACTATGATATACGAGAATAGGCGATGCCAATCTTCCGTACAACCTAAATGGAGTCAGATCAACGGGCCACAAAAGGATAATATGTTCCCTGTATGTCTGAATTCAGTAGTTCAGCCGATATATTATCTAGTCCTTCTGCTTCCACACTCTTGATTTATCTGATATCCCAGGTGATTTCTCCTGTTGTTGATCAGGTAACGATTATGGGAACGTCTGTGTGTTCTGCTTCGGTGTCCAATTGGTTCAGTTGGTATGGTCTGTTCATGAGTTGGTTAGGGTACTTTACTCACCTCTTACTCAGCTCTTGAATCTCAGCGACTATCTTGCTTTCTTTGCTCTTTAATGATCGCTCTGATATGCTGTATTTCCCTGCTAGTTTCTCCGTTGTATTTTGTGCCAGTAAATACCCCTCATCCTGTCTATATAAGGATCCAGACCAGTAGTGGTTAGGTCCTCATTTAGATCACACAGGGTTATCTTTAAAAAACAGATGAGGCTTTACAAAATTAAAGATATAATAATAGTTGTTACATCAGCTTCCTTCCAGTACCGACTTCCATAGTAATATCGATTCCATCAACTCACCAAGCAAAAACATATCAGTTCTGTATCCGCAGCCTAAAGGAGAATTACTAGCTCGTTCAGTGTTCGAATTTGAGCCGATGATAACCAAAGCCCAGTCAGCATTCGATATACTCTATGGGTGTCATATACTTTGCTAGTTTGTCATCTTGATTCGTAACAATTACTTCTTTCGCAAATCATTGCTTCCTGACTTGATGAACGTTTATTGTGTACCACAGCATGTAAGAAAACAGAGGGTAAGAAAGTAAAACAAAAATATTTGGGGAAGTGTCACAAGTGGATTACTCAACACCGTGTTGAGGGGGTACGATTTGCCCATACTCTGTCCGGCTATCAAGTGTTCACTCACCTTTTTAGTTGCTCTCAAGTAAAAAATAAAGAATCTACTTCGAAGAAAAAAATAAAGTCTGTCAAACTTGGAGAATTGCCCTACCGCCTATACAGAATAACTTGACATAAAAGGAAATTTACAATTATAAATGATATATGTTAGGTTCCACATAAGTGTTATGCTTCCAGAACCTATTGATAATCTGGAAGGAAATAGACACGGTTTGGACATCTTAGGCACGAAAATGTAATAAAAGGAAAAATGACATTTCTCACGCAACACTTTCGAAGTCGGATCACCAAATAGATTAAACCAATGAAATTAAATGGTAGAATATTTGTGCGGATATATCGCTGAGTTAAGAAATAGGTTTATGATTTATTACTGTACTTAGTTCACAGTTGTTGTGATCAGTTCGAAAGTTCCATCACATCTAGTCTGTGACTTGATAAAACATATGCCTAGTCCGAACCTTTTTCAAAGTAACTGTGAAAAGGCTCTTAATATCAGCCAGAACCTTGACAAATGCATACCTGTGGTTTGTATTCCTGGCGTATGAAAAAGCTCTATGGCTGTCAACTGTAAATGTGGCACTGATAAAAGAGAAGCTGAAGATCAGCAAAGCACTTGAATACAAAACTACAACATAGATGGAGATATGATCTGTCTAGCTCACTATTGAATGGCTCGGTTTGGCTCATGTAGCTTTGTATATGCGTTTGTGAGGGAACTTTGTGACACCTATAACCATTTTGTTGAATGCACATGGTATCTTCATACTTGGTGTTGTTTATTCCGACTTCGAAATTTAGGTGTACCAAAAGGATCGTCGGATCTTCCCTGATCAGTTCTCTATGACCGATTGTAGTCATTCGTAAAATCGGCCCTTATTGTCTTCATTGTTACCACTGATAAGTGAACATCATTGGATAACATTCATTATAATCACTTCCCTCTTTCTTTTGAAGTAAGCTTTGATGACTTTAGATCCATGAGATTACCATCCTACTAAATATTTTCATACTTCACTGAACAGCATCACGCAGCTCTCTCTTTCTCTCTGCGTGTGTGAGTGTAGAGAGTTTTCGTTATGACCACAATACATCAGCACATCTCCAAGAGCCTATCTCTATCTTGCTTGTGTTCAATGGATTCCACTTTTCCTGAAAGCTGCCAAAATATATCTCCTCACTTCCGTAACTGTTCGGTGGGCCCTTTCGGCCTCCTATATTGTCCGGATATTTTATGTGCCTTATTAATTGTTGCGTTGATTGTTAGGAGGGGCATTGGCCTCGTGACTTCCGAATCTGGGCTTTCACTATGGAGCGTCATAGATTTTCTAAACGAAAATCCTTGAACTCTCAGGACAGCATTCACATGGAATAAATTATTTTTCTGGTTACGGTCCTTTTAACAAGGCTGTTTTATCGGATGGAATTGCTTGTCCCATGCGCAACCTTCCTCGTTTATAAGGACTTGACTCAACAGTAACCCTGTAAAAGCTCCAGATTAAGTTCTGTTAGATAACACCAAAATAAATAAACAACCTACTGTACTAAAAACTGACATTGAAATGTTGTTTTGCAATTCCTGAATTGTTGCCGGTGCTGGTTCGTTATGTAAACTCCAAAATCCAAACGTATATTCTTAATTACATTTCAGTAGCTTCATCACAATTTTTCTCTTTCTCATTGGTGCTGCCGTGTCCCTTGGTTTGATAACTAATGTTGGTGGCTGAAAAATCGTCCAAGCTACTTAGGGATCAACGACTCAATGAAATTGGCTAGTCAAAATGTTTGAAATTGTAGACTTGCATATGAACTTAGTATCACTTCACATTGTCTCCCGTAATGCAGTTTTCGAGAAATGTTCTTCGCGAAACGTGCATACCACATTTGTCATGAAAAATATCAACTTAACCCACCAAGTTCGCCCATAGTTCCTTAAATTACCTCATATTGGATTGAAATTCAGTATACAATCTAGCTCCCAAGAGGGGGGAGAAACCTTTGTTTCTCTGAAGAGCGTTTGGGATAACCTTATTCACTTCAACACTCCCGAATTTACCCCAAGTGTTAGCTAATCCAACAGTTTACGAGCAGGATATTAAGGTAATTGGGGTAACGGGCATTTAAGCTAATTAAAATGGCCTAATTCAGTACATCAACTACCAGTCTCCAGGACAGTTTAATCTATGCTATATAGTCGATTATGAACCACTGTTTGAATCACAGGGAATTTCGAGTGCTCTTCTAAATGCATAGTGTTTTTAGTCAAATTTTAACGTAGTACATTACATAAATTAACTATTTCTTTGCAAAAACACTATAATCTTCTCAGATTAAATCTAGATCTGGATTTTTATAATATATTGTGCGTTTTATCCCTAGGTTCACCGAATGTTTGTCCAAATCTGACTCGGAAGTAGACTCTGCGTAATGTGCAAAAAATTTACTGACATTATAACCACCGAAAGAAATTGGAACAGACTCATTTGCTACCAGGAATAGTATTTGATCCACATGTCGGTTGTGAGCGCACAATCACAGTGAGAGCCGTAGATTTTTCAAACTTCTTTTCTAAAGTTATCTTGAATGGTTAAAAATCATTCATACAGTAGTATGTACCTCATGAAAACATTCATCTAAAATATGTACTAAATTCAATGCAGTTCGTTTCTTCACACTCTATTGCAACCTTGACTTTCGGCGTTCACACGGACTTATTCCTTTGATGTCGCTTCTCCTTGGTCAAGGCATGGTTGCTTGCTTTCTTGTGTTCCTCGTATTCTTATCCCAAAGTAAATATCATTTTCATAATTAATTTGACTTTTTCCAAGGTTTTTCAGTCAGTTACCTGAAGTTCGAGAAAATAAATGGAGCATCTGAGGAATCTTTAATTTTTCTGAATGACGCTAATCCAACAGCTCTTCTTGATGCTTCAGCAAATACTCAAAGGATAGTTTATTTTGCACAAAAAAGCCCACCATTGGGTTTAAAGTTGAATTTTGCTTGTCATGTCAATAAACAAGCGAAACCTTTGGATAAAGTGTCTTTATGCTGCCGCAGTAGTGTGAAAGATACCAAACGTACTTGTGTTCAGCCAGAGGCTGAAGGTACATTTTCCTGTTTAAATACTGAGTTTCGCTTCAGTGTTGACGAAACGACGGGGGCAATTTTCTCAATTTCTTTAACACAAGATGGTCCCCTGAGCAATCCAATCAGCGGACTGTTTTCATGTATTGTCGGTACAGACGAACTCAATGTTATTGAATCAAATGAAATAGAAATACGAGATGCTGTATTTTACATTCTTCAACTAAAGGGTACTCCGTCTACAAAGATAGATGTCGTTCCACCAATATCAGAATTTCCGCATGAGTTAAGGTGTGTAGATGATATCAGCATTGTATCACGCTGGCCATACTGGATGCACCAACTAGATGGCAGATACGGACCATACAGATGGGAATATTGTCTGACTACAGGGAAACCAAATGCCATTACGTGTTCTAAAAGGCCCATGCAGTTTTCTCCCAATTCTATTGTCGAATTTATAAATGGGAGCGTGTATCTCACTGATGCACCCCTGGTTGAGTCGAAGTCGATAGCTATCGTGTGTAAGCATGTTGGACAACTTGGACCTATTAGGACTTTTGCTGGAAAAGTTGCCGGTACTGAATCCCCTGTGGTCCTTGAAGGTCTTTCAATCGAGAAGAATAGGAATTCCAGTACTACTAAACTATATCCTTTAACGTCACTAACATCAAGTTATGTCATCAATAAAGGTACCAAACTTCAAGACTTTATGCTTAAAGCTTTATATCGACAACCTCAAGGGGACTATGAATTTCATTGGTTCAAGGATGAGCAGATGTTACACAGCAGGATTGCGACAAAATACAGTTATACACTTCCTAGTCTTATTGATGAGTCTGTATCAGGAGTTTACTCACTCGTTGTGAAATCGAATGAGGATATTTCCGATAGGTTAATATTCACCTACGATGTTAAAGTCGTTTCACCTCCTTTCTTTAAGGATCCAAGATGTTTGAAAGAACTGTTTTACGTAATGGAAGGGAATAACTTCGGCTCTGTTTGTGAGTTTGATGGCAGGTGGAATACAGTTGTATTTGTCGGTGTGGCTTCGTTTGAAGCATCTACGTATCAAGAACTTCGCATGTCTATTGATAAGAATCTCAAGTACTCAAAGCAACAACTTTCCCAGTTGGATATTATTTTTCATGTAGATGGAGAAGAAATGAATAAAAGAATTACAGTTAACATTACAAAACTTAAACTTAATCAGGATTGTGAACTATCTATTCGTTTAAATTCTATATACGGTCAGTCACGCATATCGACGTCACTTAAAGTTGTTCGTAAGTTAGATTTTTACATATTTTTGTTGAGACCTCGTCAATTTTTGGCGAAATATGTGTTTTAAATACATGGCAAGATATATACGTGTACGTATATAGCTACAATCAGAATTCTTAAGGGAAGTGAGAACACCACTACTCTTATCCCTATTATCAGCTTGGAACACTATTCTTGTAAATGGACTACTATATTTTTACTTATAACTGATCGTAATAATCGGAAATGCATTTCTATTAATTACGGTACTATAAACAAAGTATTTTAATCCTCAAAAGTGGCGAATGCCATACGATTTTAATCTCATTTATTAGCCGATAATAACCGTCAGGTCGATTGACTCGTAACTATCAAATAATGTAAAAGATATGGACCGTGGATGATTCACACAGAAATCCAAAATTTTTAACCTATTATCAGTAACATCTTGTAGTTCACACCTCTTCCACACATAATTAGCCATTTTCGGACAAGTTTGGTGTTTTCAAATCCATATATTTACCTAAAATCATAAAGTTGTGATATAAAAACTGCGTATGTAGTTTCACAATGGATAACACCTCATTCTCGCATTGTTCTATCCTGAACGAACAACTGGGACACAATTGTGAAAAGTTTCTTGTACTTACGTATATATGTATATATACTTACTAAGTATTGATCATTATATATTAGTTATTTGGCGTTTTATATAAAGATCCCAATCATTTAACACTGACTATAGGCTGTTTTCTCAAGTTCAGTATGTCTGACTCAATATAGTCTACCTATGAACCTTTATCAACTAAAGTGAATAAAACATACCATATACTATCTAAGCGCTACTTACTCTATGCTATACAGGATAGTGAAGTACTTTATTAGGTTAGAAGCAATTATCAGTCAATGAAACTATTTCATTTTAATCTGAGCCGTCTCGAGAAGTCTACCCTTCCTGGTTACACTTTATGTGATAGTCGTAATCTGTGGTTGATGACCTTAAGATTATTCTAATTCGATGGCAGCAGCGTGGTTGTATCTGTCTTTCTTTGTATCTTCACTAAAAGCTTAAACTGTAGTACTCTCCACTTCTCTTCATTTTTTCTAGATATGTTGATTTTAGTCAGTTTTCAACTACAATTCATCAAATTGTTTTGATTTCTTTGCCTTCCGCACCACTAATGTTGTTCTCTGCGCTTTCAAGTGTGATAGTTTCAACCAATATATATTTGCTTCAGATCATGTATTCTTCACAACTGGGTGACTGATCCCATGACCTTGTCTGCATTACAGTAGTATAACTGTAGATTGGCAATTCATGTTATTTGAGATCTCATTCTGTATCTGTCATTCTCATTCCAACCCCTTAACTAGATTGATTGCTACTTAAATAAAGCCTTATAGACAGACAACAATCTTACATAAAAATTGATAAGCAAGATGGATCACTTAGCACAAACATATTTTTCTAAGCGATTAAGTTTACCTTATTTCATAGGGATAAATTGTGCCATATCAGCTACTTAATTGCAAAATCTTACTCAAAAATTTACCTTGGCTTCGGTGTCACGAAATAACGATTGGGAAAATTGAAAGGTTTAAAATGTTCATCTTAAAGTTAGAGTTTGTTTAGAGAAAAGGTTTAAATGTTCATTTTGAAGATAGAAGTAAATTAACGGTTTCTTCTTAACACAGAATTTTTCGTCATCTGCTTGAGTGTAACCTAATATAATGTGATATGCCTGTTAGAAATTAGATTTTTCGTACTTCATACAATATTGTTTAAACTATTTTAGCTAAGCCTCAACTCACAATATCACCTTCCGATGAAAATTGCATAAAAAACTGTGATGAAACTCCGTACAATGTTTCTTGTGCACTAAATGAAAATATTGTTCAAGAATGGAAATCAAAGTTTAATATAGAACCATCTATTGATTGGATCATTCAGAATCACTGGACCAAAGCACATTTGGAATCTACTGGTTTAGGACAATTTATAACTTCTAATGGTGAACATGATGTAAGTTTTTATTAGCCTTAGTTTCACCGATTTTAATTGCATAAGTTGAATATATCGGTATCACAATGCCAAGGTTGAATTTGATAGTCTCAAATAAATTGAGCATCGGATAGAAAGTTAGTAACAAATGTAAATTTTTTGTTATATCTCCAAAGAGGTAGCTCACATTAATTCATGAAATGTCAGAAATACAGTTTTTCTATCCATTGAAATATAATAAGAAGATATTTATCATAAGTTTAATAGTTAGGGTTTGGAAATTTGTGGTTAATCATAAGTACTTGGTAATACATAAGTACTTTTAGTTTTTCTTGCCCAATGCGGCTTATGTAACTAATATCATCATTGAATTTTTATGACATCAGACTTTAATTTTTGACCCTAAACGATTACTTAACATCCACATATGTTTTAATTAAAGTTGAAATATCTAGTGCATAACTGAACATATATTAGCGGATTAAATCAGCCATTTGTGTGCAACATATTCAAACAAGGTAGTACAACTTATCAGGTAATGAATAATTTATCAAGAAACAAGTGAAAGTCACAATAATACCTTTAAAATTCCACTTTCTGTCCGTTATATCAAAAATTACTCTTGTTAACAATTTCAAACAAACTATACGATATAGCTCTTTATATCTTTTTCTACTACCGTCTAAGCAATCGTCTTCATAATTTCCCTTAACGGTAGTTGAGATAAGAACAAATTTTAAAGTATGAGTAAATGTTAAGGGTGGTCTTTTTACGTGCAGTCTAAAAATATAGTGTTTGTTCTGAATTCATTGGAAAGATGAATCAGTGTTCCAATTTGTTTGTTCGTTTAAGGTTGATTTGATTTTTATCATACTAGGTAAGTATGATGATTAACTGGTTTCACATAGAAAATCTTTATGTAATTTAGCATCCATATTTATTTATCCAAACAAAATTCCACGAAACGGAATATCTAGATTTGATTAGAAAAGCGGTGGGTCAAACTGGCTGTAATGTATTGTTTCATGGGACTAGAAACATCAGATGATTTAAGGTATCAACAAACCATATGGTAATTAACGTATTTGTTGTTCTTTAAACTGTTGGAACAATTTTTCAATGAATATACACTCGATAAAATTTAAATTGGCACTTTGTTATTTCACGAACATTCATACAATCCAAGGCATAGTCATATTTGACCAGTACTGTGAAGTGAATTTTTGTTAAACTTCATCATATTAATAATGGTCAGGCTTTTGCGAATGGTTATATCAGTTTCTTATGAACTATGTTATCAATTGTTTCTGTTGTCTCTGATAATTTAGAATATAACCCCCCCCCCAAAATCCCCTGGTACATTCGAGAATGAGGGAAGTTCGCTCTTCCCCTTGAGATGCTCTCATTTGGTCATGCATATACAACCACTGCCGGGGAAGTCCTACTCACTGCCTTCAAGCAGGGCGTTGTTTACGACATTAGGAGGATAAAAGCGCATACCCGGCGCTTAAACCGGGTTGATTGGTATCAAGGATCCACTCTAATTCCAAACTAATGGTACACATGGGTTCTAGGGATACGATAAAACCTATTATTGGTCTCCGGTTACCATGGGACTTCATCCCCTTACGTTCCTCCACTATTTCGTAGATTGGATCTCTTGATCAAAAGCTCAGGGAGTGGCCCCATAGGAAAACCAACAGCTTCGGTTTAGGCACCTGGACAGTGTCCCAGCCCACACATAAGTTTAGTGGTTTGTTTGGTGCATGTATATTTTGGTGCCCCTTTGTACTGGTGTTTATATGTTTGTACAAATAACAAAATTCAGAACAATATCTTATGTCACATTTAGGTTATTCTACTATTCAGTCATAATTAAACAAATTTTCTATTAAAAAGATTGAATGAAGTAAAATAATATAGGCATTAAGAAAGATTAATATTCCATATTTTAAGTCCAATATTTTTGCAACACTTTCACCGGATTTTAACCATCCAATATATTCAACTCTAATCCAAGAAATCTATCGCGTTTCGAACTATCACACAATAATCTATTAACTTGTCGTGGTATGAAATAAAGCTGTGTGAGACTGATATCTGTCAGTCCACCACGACCCCTTGGTTAGGATACTAGAGAGAAACTTTTAACTGTTTTTGACTAAACTGTATTGCCTATCATCTGTTATTTTCACTTATTTTTTTTATTTCGCTCCCGTTCCGTCCTTTATTTATTTTCAATGTCAACTTTTTTCATGTGTGGTACATTCATATTTTGTTGTCCATTTATGCAAGGACTTATGTTTATTAAATGAAGGCAATACAAAAAGCTTGTTTCTCCAAACCGTTGAAATCAATAACCATACACTTAAGTCTTCTCTAAGCGTGATTGGAAATATTGACTAGCAATGATATGTATGGTAGTTGACCAAATTAACAGTAACAATGTGTCACTTTGAATCTCACTGATCGATTCACTTGAGCTTCTTGAACATTCTCTTGTTTGTATGTTGATGAAATGCCTCTTAATCTTGTCGTGATTAAATGCTATTTCGTTGTTTATTTATGTCAGACAACCCTAACAGTATGGCCAGTAGGTAAACCAATTCCTTTTATTGTTAAACATGAAGAAAATAACAACAAACGACCAAAAGAAGAATCTGGGATAGAGGAAGAAGAAGAAGCAATAGAGAAGGAGATAATGAACTTGGACACTGAAGATGAACCTGTTCAGATACCTAGTACGACGACACTAAAACAATTTCTTGCACAAAAAATAGGCGGATCTGAAGCTCAGCCGCCGAAAGATCTTATTTTAAGCTGTTGGATTCGTTTATCGGTTATTGGTAAAGAAGCTGAATTTGAAATACCAAATGGATTAGTATCACATCAGTCATTTGCACGTCAAGCTCAATTTGCACAATCTTCTGGTATAAATCGTTTAATCTATGATTCCCGATGGGAAACAGACACTGAACTAGCGAAACGATTAACCGCTGTTCGTACATTTACTCCTGATATGATACCTGGTAAGTTTTTCGAGTTAAATTATTTTGTTTTTTTGGGGGAGGTGAGATTTCATGTATGTTTATGATAGTTTGACATCTACATTTTTCTGCGTAACATTTTTCGGTTATACGAAAAATTGACAGTCATTCTTAGCCAACCAGCACTAGTGGATGATTGGAGGAGACTCTAGAATCTTCTTGTGTAAGATTCTAAGTATATTAACGTTTTTCTTACTGTGATTCACTCATTCAACTTGGTTTGTTTTGGTGTATAAGTAAGTTCTTGTTCAAGCTCTGTTCTGATTTTAAAAACTAGTCGAATTAGAACTTAACACGATAACCTGATTGTTGGTAGTCAACTAGACAGTTCTCATTCTTTTTTACTTTCGTTATATTCTTTTCTCGATCAGTTAAATGAAAACATCCTCAAGAATTTATTCTTGTTCTACTGTTCTTTTTATCTCCTAATCAACTTACTATTGGTCGTTTATCCAGTGACTGAGTTTGAGACAAATAGGATGTTCTTGACAGTAGTAATTAATCTCGGACTCACTCCTGAATGAAAACCATGATTTGCACTACAACTTTATACTTTTACTTCTAAGTAATTATATTGCAGATAAGAATGGAAATTACTCAGATGTCGATATGAATATGATAATAAATAAGTTTGCAGAAATTACCAAGTTATTGATTTAAGTTAGACATTGACACTGTTGCATGCCATCTAAATGGTTCATAGATAAGCCGTTGCTGCACAATCCCAGATTTCAGCCTTCGGGATCGTGAATTCACACTGCCCCACTAAGGAGTCCCGTACAAAATGACCATCCAGTGTTTGCAAGTTTTCATCGGTTACTTAACTTATATCGGTTCATTGTTTCAGTGAAAGTCAGCAATATCCACAACCCCCTTATTGACAATTCTGGGATGCAAACACACCCAGCTGAATAGGGCAAAACGCTCATCCTAGATTCCACTGCTAGCCATATCCCATCTAGCCTATATCAACTTGTGTCGAGGTAATCCTCACAGGATGCCAATATATTCCAACGAAGATTGGTCACATTTCAGTCAAAAGTATCAACAACGGGATAACTCAAACCATTTCAAATTGAGTTGTCAATTCAAATTACATAACCTACCTACATATTGAGCTTTGGTGGATGACTTTATTCATGCTTCATTCGATATTTTTAAGAATTCATGGTGTTTCCATTTTATTAGTTTTTTACTGGAAAACTAGATTGGAAATATAAGGAGGGTGACAAGCTTTAGTCCATATACTAAGCGTAAACATAATTTATTTATAATCTTATCAAAATAGTGTAAATAGCTCAATTTGACCATATATATATGAATATATTATCACAGTTTTTGAAATGATTGTCTGTTAATTGATGGTTAGGATGTTTCTTTTACATATGCTGTCATTTATAGATGATAATCCTTTAATGATGATCTAATCTCTATTCTCTCTATCTAGTTTTTAATTTGTAAATGAGATTACAGAATCTATCATTATCAAATCCTACCTTTTATGCTTATCTCCAATAGATGAAAATCTCTTTCATATGTATAACCAAATTTTACCTTGAGCTTAATTATATGTTCAACATAAAGTCAAGATTTAATGTTAGTCTGGTTGCATTTGTATCCAAAGTCATCTCTTAAAAAAATTTAAAATCAATAAACGAAACTGATAATTGACATAAGTATCCATGTATCAAGCACTATTGCTCATGCAATCAGATCAACGCTGATCGAAATAGAAAGGCCACTTATTCATCAAATCAATTCACCGTGGTGAATTAATCTGGCTAAAACAAGATTCAATTTTGATCACTGTTAAAGCTATTGTTTACAAAGTTTTCATGAGGCGAGAGTGATAAGATTTGTGCAATAGAATAAGTTCATTGTACTTCAAGATTTCCATTCAGCTTCAAAAGACCTAAATTTAAAATAAATGGTATTATCATAATCAAAGTTTTCCATAACTTAGTAAGTGAAGTTGTGTTTTCGAAACAACACAGTAAATAATATAAGAAACAGAAAGACGCCATAAGACATAGTATTTACGATTGATTAGTATTGACATTTTTGTAGTTTAAATCACAAACAACTGGAAGAAAGAGCCTAGGATAGAGTTGGTTGGAGAACCCTAATCGGCGACCTATTCTCCATGAGGAGTAATAGGCGTAAGTAACCGGACAGCTGTTTCGTCGTAGTATGGCACTCAGCAGTGCGCATCTATGACTCCACTACCCATTAGACACAAGACCTTACGTCTCGCCCGCTAACGCTAAATCTTCAAATCACTGAGTTGGCATTTAATATTGTACGTCCCTACCTTCAGTAGATTCATGATACTGCATACCCCTCATCCATTTTCTACGGTAGGTAACTGTCTCACATTTGACATGATTGGACTCCATTAGTTACGACTTCACACTAGAACTCCAGGAGTTGTACCTTGAATTTTGTCATTGGTGAAAACAATTATTATCAATATTGGGGGTATAACTAAGATCGGTTTTTGTTGCGCAAACTGAAAGTTTTACGATTTCCAATACTGATAGTACGTACATGGTGATAATTAATCTAATGTGAAGAAGGGTGTGACGTCATGAATGGAATGTTTGAAAATTCAAGATAAAATAGTGAGATTATTTAGTAAACATTGATGGGTTCATGATTTCTATGAAACTAAGCTATCTTCACGACCCAATACTGATAATAAACAAACGTGTCAATGTGATTATTTGCTATAGTAATGAAATGTTTACCACTTTTTTCTGCGTACAAAGGTTATGTCGAAAGAGTTTGATAACAACGAGCTTTGAAAAGCGGTATAAAATTGGCGTCCGTTACCTTTTTTCTGTACTCTTATGATATTCACATTATATCCATTATCTATTAAGTGTTTTCGCACTTACGAACAATTTATTCCCTTTCAAAAACGAACTTCGAGGGATATGTCCAAAAAACCTTGTACATACCCTCTTTTCAGTTCACTCTACGTATTCGCTTCCACATTCAATCCCATTTACATCTGAAAAGAAGCTTCTAAATATGACGAACCGATTTTACTATGCAAAACATTTCATTCTCCTTTTGTCTAAATTTGTCAACAGCGTTAGTGTGCATAGAACAATCTTTTACAGTTTGAGATGAAATCTGTGCAGTAGAATGGGACTCCATTATAGTGACATTATTGATCGGTGTTTGGTGCCCATCATTTATTTATTTAAACATAAAAGTTGATACAAACGGACACCGAAATATATATGCGCCACACAAAAATGAGATTGTGAAGAAATAGAGAAGGGAGGGTGAATATATTAAAAAAGAAGAAAAATGGATGAAAATTAGTTTATAAGTAAAAAATAATGGAAAAAGCAGTTCATTTAAGAATACGATCAGAATGGAATCTTTCAGTTTTAGAAGTCCCTCTCACTTATACTGCAATTTACAGCAGGACCGCGACTGGCTTTTATTCTGAGCCATGTCTGATGACGTCGCACTATCTCCAGGACCCTAACCAAGGTGTTGTAAGGCACCAGTCCTGCACCACTTTTGTCCATACTACTGCTCCATATCATAAACCATTTACCTCTCTGCCTATCTAACCAGTCTCAGCGTCAGCAAATAATGTACGATATGGACTTCACAATGCATATCCAGGCCAGCGAAGTCCGTTTTTCAAGACAGTTTCATCAATTGGATTATCATCGCTGTGCAAGAACACACGATACAGAACCTCTACATTACTTAAATAGTGTTGCCACTGGGTGTCAGCAATCCTTCAAAGACAACGATTATCAAATACAGAGAGTTGTCTAGCATCCTCAACTCAGAGAGACCAGGTTTCACAAGAATAGAGTAAAACTTCTCTCACCGACGTGTTGTAGATTCAGCTTTTTACAGCCAGACTGACGTCACGTAGGCTCCAAAGATGGCACAGATTGGCACAAGCTACTCTGGCTCTCATTATACTTGAATTGATATCACCACCTGCACTTACACAGCTACCCAGATACATGAGTTTGATACATCACACATACAATGCATTAGATAACTAAGTGGAGTAACACGTCAAGTTACCATTGTTTGTATTAAGCTATTCAGTGATGACAGTTACTAAACATTTTGGCTTCAACAAAGTCAACTTTCCAATTGTACTACCTAAAATCATCAGCCATCACTGAGTTCACTGTCATGTGTTTCAAAAAAAATTTTTCTAGTTTATCAGACAACTTATATGATTTCATCTTGTCTTCATCAAGTCATTTTGAGGTACTTCCATCCTACTCTTATTATAAACAGGATTATAGTTCGACGTTAATGTTTATTTATTAGCATTACTAAATGATGAATTGTTTTTTGAAGGTACAGTTTACAGAAATTCCAAAACAGTTGAAATACATCATATATGTTTGCAGTTTATATATATGAACAAGATTTTTAATGAGTAGGTAACACTAAGTTTAGTGTTAAATGTGAGCTGTTTATGACTCATTCAATTTGACCTAGCCTGATTACGTAATGCTGATTGAACTCAAGTAACTATTATCAGTTACACAGCTTTTGTAGGTCAGTCTGTTTTATGTATGATGTCATTTTTCTCACTGATATGTTGAATCGGGCCTGTTAACATTAGAGCTCAGTGCATCTGTAGAATTTTTCAGTGCTTCCAGAATTTTTTGGATACCACTGTTCCATTTAATATCTAAATCCAACGTGAGAACATATGGCACTCATGACATTTGTTACTCGAAAGTCTCCAAGCTTGTTGTGTGACTACTACGCTGTGAGCTACGACTCCAGCATCTCAATCTTTATAATATATCACTCAGATTCACTATTCTAATGTATGAAATCCCAATTTATGAATTTTCTGTCCTTCAAATGTCGTAAGAATAGGTAGCGCTAACACATACCAAAGTTAAACTTCTACACTTCCTTCATCTTTTTTGGCAGTTTACATTAGCCATTGAATTGTTATATCTTTCGATAAAATCATTTGTATTTGATCACTGTTAGTATGTACTGATGATATATAGAAAAGTAACTTGATCAAACAATTATTTCATGGATTGATCTCAGTTATAGTGTCACTGAACAGTTGTATTGTCCTAGTATGAGACTCCTCAGCAATGTGAAGTCCCTACTCCCTGAGAAATTCAAACCAGAAACCTGGTCTCTTGAAGAGTACTTAGCCAACCAGACCAATGGGTCGGTATACATTAACACGTATTGTATCGATTCAGATCGCTACACTTTTGAATCATGTAGTAAAAAATGTAGTGTGATTAAAAGAAGTGAGACAGTGATTGATAAAAATGCAAATAACATGTTAAAAAAATATTTAGAAAAGTGAAAATGAATGCAATCTCTGCTTATACACTTGACATTGAGTCACATTGTTTAACAATTTTATAGCTTTCATCATCCTAAGGGTGTATGCTTTCTTCGTGTACCACATATTGGCAAATATAATTGAATGAACTTCATTTAGCCTACGTTAACAAGATAGACAGTAACGCTTAACAGGGATATCACATATTGCCAATACTTCATTTGTCCGTTTAGTATATTATTAGAAAAGTTGTTTTTTCCTATTGTGTTCATTTAAACAATTTCTGTCTATTAGTGACATACTATTACATAAGAGTGTAATGATTTGGTCAATTACTACTAATATTTTCGTAACATGAAATATATATATGGTTCTGTTCTGTTTGCTTGATTTTTCTTTCCGTTCAGTACTTGGAAGTAGTTGGTAGAAAAACCTATAAACCTTAATTTCATGCTAGTTAGCATTTGCCAATAAAGCATACATGGAATCTCGACAGAACTGACACTGCCCATGAAATCAAAACCTGGATCATCCAACAGCTTAGCGTCTCAACATAGTACATGTGTTGTCAAGTTACTTCTATTACTTTACAACTAGATCAGTAAACCCTTGATCAATCAGTAGCAAGAAGAACTAGGCAAACATAATACTGGTCATTACCAAGTGACCAATTAATTGGTTTTTCTTTTATTAACTCCTACTTATTATTTGAATTTGTCCAATTGATCTTGTCTTCAATCTTCCGGTTTTTTTTTGTTCTTCTCTTTCTAGCAACTGCTGGTCTCGCATGGATTGCAGCTGTGATTATCGGTGTAATTATTTTTATAGTTGTGATTGCATCAAGTATATGGTTGTGTACACGTGATCGTGGTGAAACTTACATGGTATATGATAAGGAACGTGCACATGGAAATGATCCAATACAAGAACTGAAAGAAAAAGAAACATTTCAGACATTTCAAAGACAGTAAGTGTCCTCCTTCTCTCTTTTTTTTTACTAATTAAAATGTAAACTGTTTTTCAACTGCAAATCGTCAACAGTAATCTGTTGAACGTTTACAACATCGTATCAACGCCGCTGACAAAATTTTTCTTTTAAATTAACAAGTTTTCTTGACATCGATAATGTGGTTTTGATCATCAAGCACTTTAATTTGTCTTTGTAGACAAAATTATCAGTATAAAGAACTTTAATGAAGTAAAATGAGTTATTATAGAATTTCTCCACAAGTAGTAAGTAACAGCTTATTTTATCAAGATGAGATTTGATTGATTGTAACCAGTCGAGTTTGCTCCGTTATCTGCTCAAAATATGTTACTTTAAATTGTCCTTTTTTCCCTGATGTCATTTTGGGGATGTCATAGTATACTTATGAATCTATGTGTTTCCGAATTTTTTCTGACATCCAATGGCAATACTATGTTTGTACTGCTTTTCTCAATGTGCGTTCGAGCACAGTGTCGACAATTCAATTAGCGTTACTGTTTTGAAACACTGGTTTTTGATGGCTTAGACATGTTTTTCACAAGTTTTGTAGTGTTTGGATTCCCAGCTCTGAAAATAGGACGGGGCTTCGTGTTAAGGATGAAAGCCGTCTTGAGCTGGCATCTATAGGCCCACTATAACTGTCCCACTGAGGTCCTAGAGATAGATATTGCAACTCATTGTCTTGAAATCCTATCATACATAGCTTAAAACAAAAGCCAATGGTGATCGTCGTATAGTTTCGTTTAACATTTTCTGAAAAGGAGAGGAACTCATTCAACTGAAGGAAGTTTCTCTTGATTGTTTTGTCAACTGAACTGTATTACATATTATATACTATTCTTGTTCACTTATTTTTTGATTGTACTTACATTCCGTCTTCTATTTCTTAATAATAACTTCCTATTTATGTATTACGTACATATTTTGTTGTCCAGGTGTGCTAAATTTTATGAGTTCTAAGTAATTAGGTAAATACTTGCCAACTCAGTCAACATGAGAGCACTTATTAACTGGCTGAGACGAACTTTTAAAAAAATACTTACTATAACTTGAGACTGATGTTAAAGTAGTCCCCAACCAGAAGTATAATGATAAATTTTTCGATTCTGAATCTGCCATTTCTTCTGTAGCCTGGTTTCGATTCCTCCGTGTGGAATTGTGGATGTGCACTACCACTGAGGAATTCTATACTGCCGTCCAGTGCTTTTAGGTTTTTAACGGTAGTCTAACTTAGATCAGTTCATGATTTGACTGGAACGCGTAACTATGCTGAACAGTGTGTAGTTTTTCACAATACTACCACATGTTTATGACTCATAAAGCATTGTGTATTTGGAGATCGACATAGTTACTCACTCGCACTACATTTCTCATCATAATTATCTCATGGTTTAGTAGTTGTGTTTATTTTATATGTTTATGCACAATTTGCGTTGTTTATTTACTGTTATGTTGTACTCATTTACTTTTTTCAATGAGTTGTATTGTTGAATCAACCCTAATAGTTGTTTCTGCACGCGAGAACATTATCATCAAACTCACAAATAACCAAGTCCATATAGAGAAACATTCTTAGTTGTTGTATTTCAAAATCTAGAGTGAGGTATTCATTCACTCTCTCTTCACATAGTTTAGAGGTGGTGACTGCATACTTCTCACCATTTCCATTGATTGTCATCATTAACTACGCACACATATATATACAGACAAACCGCACATGTATAAAGTTATTTTAATTATTATAACTACTTCATGTTTCTAGACTTGAGCAAATACAAATTTCACGATTATTGTTACAGTATGATATCTGGGTGTACCTAAATGTAAAGCACTATAATTCTGAGTCATAATCCAATGACACCAACTGCAGTGTTTCTATATGGAACCATAATAACAGATATTGTTCACATTTCTTTCTCTCTTTTTATGTTCATTCATTTGTCCACTGTTGTTGTTGTTGTTGTTGTAATATGAATCCTGTCTTACATTGTTCCTCTTAAATTGGAGCAATGTAAATAAACATTACACACACATATACACACACTATTGTGCACGAATAGTGATAGCAATTAGATGTTATGTATTTTTGGATTGAATATTTCTAGTCCTGAAAATGTGTGTAATCAATCAATCGGTACCAATATTTGCTTAATCGGATTTATGTTCAAGTTGTTATTTATTTTGGCGATCAAATTAATATAACTTAATTGTGTGTTAGTTACTAGGGTAGAATTCATTTGGCACGCACATACTGACTCATTCGTTCATGCTGCTGTGGATAAGTTGGATAAATGGGTTATGTGTATGCGTGTGTGTGTGTGCATGTATGCGTGTGTGTGTGTGTGCATGTATACGTGCACACTTGTGCTCAGTTGAATAACATGAAGAGAAGTGTTTACGGCCTTCTAACAGTTAGAGCGTTTGGCTTCTAATCAATAAAATTCCTGGTTTAGAACTCCACTTCGCCTACTTCGCTTTTCTTCAGCCAGTTTATTATCATTAGGTCTAATGGACAAATATTATGGTTTTAAGTGAATATTATTCAATATAAATGAGTTTTTGGCGAAAGATACATGCATTATTTTGATCGAACCTCGTTCATAGACAAGCTATCATTTCACTGGCTCATAATTGGTACAAACAAATTACACTATTTTTATCAAAATTTCATCCATACTTAATGTGTTTAGTCGAATATTACTAACTATTTATTCGGTTCCCTTCATTATTTATAATCAGTTTGTATAACGTAATATTCTCTTTTACTGTATCACAAACTAACTAGCATCCATCGGAAAGGTTTCTAACACCACACAATCAGTCATCTAATTGAATTTACCTCAACCCTATTGGCACTTACCTGTGTATGCTGTCAGCAGCTATTTAGTTTAAACTTTTAGCCGCAATCCATAGAATTAAATTAGTTAACTGTGAGACAGTTATGGTTTGCAGAATTCTATGTTAATCTTTCAAATCATTCTACGTCATCCGAGATTCCCTTGAAGTTCATTCATTTATCTCTCTCTTTACCTACATTTGTACATAGGCCTTTCAAATTAGGTCAACCAAGATATTTTATAGTTTACAGCACATAACTTGGAAGCACGGAACAGCTGTTTCGCCTGAGTATATGAATCCCCAGCAGACCATTGACTGGACAGGGATCGAATTCTGAACCTATATGTCTTGAGCGTGAAACTTAACCATTAGAGTACTGGGTCAGAATTTAGAACCTTAAATTTTCAAGTTCAATCAGTTGAAGATATTGCGCAACCTTCCAATGTCAACGGTGGGTCACTGCTTCATATCTGAAGTGAATGAATTACGGTAATCTCTTCTCAAAAGTCCCACATTAAGATGATATATCTGTCCATGTCTTAATCGTTTTCAGTGGTTGTTTAACTAACCATAGAATAGCAACTATTCGTTATTGACTACTAAAGTCATCAATATCACTAGAACGTTTTTTACATTCTTTTTTTTCTATTCAACATGTATTATTTTACCTACAGCTCATTCTAATACTTCTTATAAACGAGGATAGTTAGTTATACTTTGATAATCTACTATTTAAAGCATTCATAGTACCAGTCTCATTGAAAAGTAATGACATACTGTCAGTCATTTTCATCTATCTATTTCTTTCTATATTTATCCTTTTTACATGTGATATTGACCTTTAATTGATATGAGATGATTTTATCACATGATACTGTACAATCACCTTGCATTTTGATTCGTAAGTAACTGGCTCACATTCAACATGGTTGAACTTCACTGGTAGCAGTTTATCACTAGAACTTCGGGAATCATTTATGAAGATTAATCACTATTGTGCACATCTATGATAGCCTGATAAATTATTTTAAACGATTCTAATCAGTTTATCAAGTAAATGTATGTGTATACTCGAATTAGAGCCATACTTTAGGTTATTATTGGTACTATCTGTGGTTATCTAAATTAATATATTGTAAATATATAGTTCTAGGTATTGTTAAGTTTCATCGAAATAATGAACCGATCAATGTTAGATAATCATTGAAAACCTGAATTCACTGGACGGCCGATTCATCCTGGTATATGAGTCATCAGCGGTAATATACATCCATTACCCTGCACGCAGGAATCAAGATTTTGAGCACTCATATAGAATACCGAAGGTCCTGGGTTCGATTCCCGTATGCGAACTCGTGGATTCATACTGCTGGAGAGTCCCACACTTGAATGAAACGGCTGTCCAGTGCTTCCAGATTTTCAATGTTTATTTAACATTGACCAGTTATAATGACTTCAATAAATTAATGTAGATTTTGATGCATGGTGTACAGGATTTAGAATGTAAGATGGTTAAACACTGAACTCTTGACCAATAAGCCTTAACATCCCACAATCATTTCAATTAATTATCTGTGAAAAAATGTTTATATTGTCTTATGATTGAATAAAAATAAATTTTGGTATAATAATAATAATAATATCCAATGATTCAAAAGTGTTTGACATTTCCCCCCCCCATCCCTTGACTCCATAATATTTGAACTACATTTTGCCTACTCTTTGGTTTAAGCAATCGATTTGGTATAATTGACGAACTTCACATTAAAAATGATGGCCTGAAGCCAAGTGTAGAAATTTACACTGGGCAAAAAATGGCTAGGTGTTTTGTTTTGTTTTTTTAAAAATAATAAACGTCAACCTTATATAGAGTCATATGATGAGAAACAGATCATGGTATATATGAAATGGACAAATTAAACGGGTTTTATTTTCTAAGAAAACAATTATTTGTTATTAGATTCATTTTTATTGCTAATAATACACTATTTTGTCATTAATTTGTTATGATTAATTTTGATGCCAAGAATTAATAAATTAATAATAATAATAATAATAATAATAATAGTAATAATAATAATAATAAAGGTTTTTAAACTTTGGAATGTTATTTTGTTTGTATGTTTGATTGCTGTACATTGTCCTTGACTTTAAATAAAGGTGAACTATATATGTATATATAAGGCGGTCACTTAATTTACTTTATATGTGTGTGTTTTCTCTTGGATTTAATCTGTTTTGGCATTTTGACATTTCTTTGTGTGTGTGTGTGTGTGTTTATGGGTTGACATCAAGAGTATTCTATATTAAGGTGATTGAGTTTATATATGAAGAAAAAAACAACCACACGTTATCACTGGATTCGAATCTGTGATCTGCTCAAGTCACATGAGTTCGTTTATTTAACAGTTATAACCTGTGGTAATTGATTGATAATGTCATTTGAAAAGAAGTACTTTTAAGGCCTATAGTTAAAGGTAGTGGACGACAAGATCTGTACCTGAACTCTGGACATACATGACATTGAAAATACATCTCAGTCCTAGAGGAAGTAAATCTCAGCCTCTATAGCTCAGTGGTAACGTCTTAGGCTGTGAATCTGAGTGACAAGTTATCAAGTGCTAAATAGCACGTAACCTAGGTCAGACAAAGTTTACTGTCAACTAGCTCCAACTAACATCTTACGATTCAACTTAGTGCACGACATGTCGGATCGTTTCGAGTAGTGGCCACATTACAACTTGATCCATCAAATTCTATCTTCACTAAGGGGTTTAACATACATGACATTAGACATTGCTCAGGGATCGATCAGTTGTAAACATTGGAATTTATGTGCACCTAGCTACCGTGTGTAAATATAATTGTTCTTAATCGATAGGGTAAACTGGTGATCGGTTATCACTTCCTCGTTTGTTGAAAACACCTATCTACGTAGAGCATTTTTGTGCGGACTTGATAGTAATAGCTAAATCAATAGCCTGAATTATATTTGTATCGGCTTGCTATATTATATAATTCTGAATACAAGGTATATTTGCCTGATTACTTTATCTTATATAGAGAAGGAAACTCTCTAAAGTTTACAATTTACTTTGCTTAGTGGACAAATTGTTAGTGTTTGAGATGAAAGGTACTTGTTTCTAGTTTTAATGTAAACATCGACACAGGTATATCCAGCTGATGGGGTTCGAATAGAATGGAATACGCATCCTGGATTCCACTGTTAATCATTCATCTGTTCTAAAATAAATCGACTTAATGTTAATGTATTATCGCATTCTCCGATTCACAAGTTAATATTATACCTAAGGTATAACCTTACTATGAACTACGTTGATGGTGACTGACTGGTGTCTACGTTATCTGATAATCTTTTCATTCTGTTTAAAGATATTTCGTGAACCGTTACTTTTTCTATCCATTTCCATCTGCTTACGTGAATAATATTTTCTTTGTCTCATTTATATATCATTATCAAAGTGTATTAATCTATCTAGTTGATAAATTGAAAATCAAAGAGTGAACAGATATTTTGATCGACTATAAGATATTAACTTAGGTTATCTAAACATCTAAATATAATTTCTTTGACAGGTTAGTTTTCGTTATTTAAACATTTCGAAAGCCAAAGAACACTAAACAAGTATGTTTCGTCCCAGTTTGGAGCCCATCATTCATGAACATCAATGATCCTATCAGAGATCAAACTGAGAATTTTCATCCCTCATGATTAGCGTATTTTACGTAGACCTCTAAGTCGGTGTGTAACGGTCCCTATTTCTGACCTCAACCGATTCCTGATATTATACGATTATCAACCAGTGTCACTTGTGATACATTTGTCTCACACCTAACATTTATTAGACTCAAATGATCTCAGCTTTTCAATATAACCTTTAGAATACTTCCCAAAGTAAGTCACTAGGTTCCATAGTGAACTGACATTCGTTAAAAAAGCAAGGAGAAGTGAACATTGAATATAACAAAGTTCAATATATGGTGGAAATGATCTGTTTGTTTGTTGTTGCTTTTTTTCGCATTCATTAAGCTCTCAAATACTTACCATATTATGAGTTGTTATCATGGTCAAACTTTGCTTTATGTGTTAATCTCTTTGAAAGTTCGACAAACATTTAAGTATCGATCATCTTTATTGTAGTTATTTTAACATTTTGATACTCTCAGAATTTATTGAATTCTCTGTTTTGTTTTGTTTTGTGTAGAGAGGAACCAAGAATTGCAACGAGTCGTTATTCTTTAAATGATGGCAGTGTACGTTTCGAAAGTGAAGATGACGGGGAATTAGATGAATATGCAGGTATTGTGTGCATTTTTGTGTGCTCGCGCATGTGTGTGTATTTACTGCCTTTTGTAATTATGTGTGTGTTAATTTAAATTGTTGTTAAAATAAGCTAAACTGAGGACCTTTTTGTTTGCATCATTTTGCAATACATTTTATTTGTTTATCTTTCGCTAAAAAATTTATAGTCCCGTATTTTCAATTTTGGTGTCTTTTTCACTGGTCTTTCTATGAATCTAAAATGCTAAAGTGTTTTAAATCATAAAGACGTTTTTTCATAGTTGAAATCATGAGTCAACCTAAGCTAGACCATTATTAAAAACCTGAAATCACTGGACGGCCGTTTCGTTCTAGTATGGGATTCCTCATAAGTGCACATACTAGGACGAAATAGCCATCCAGTACTTCCAGGTTTTTAATGATGGTCTAGCTTAGATTGACTCATGATTTAAACTGTGGAAATACCACAATCTCTACAAATCCCCATACTGACAACATTTTTTTTTCATTAGTTCACACGTTAACTATCTTCTGACATCTCCACGGACATTGCCTTCAACTCACTACAGAATTTCATCATTAAATTGTTTGTTCAAACATCCTTTTATGATGGACATCAAGTATAAGTCTATGATATTATTGACGGAATATAGATTGAATAAAGGCATGTTCCGTCCAGGGTTATGTTCGGGCACGCCGGTTAGTTATTTCATAACCAATCCGCGCTAGTGGATACTTGGAGAAGACTCTAGGATCCTCTCGTGTAAAAACTATAAATATACCAACATTTTTCTTACCGTAATCCCTACTTCCATCTACCCTTGTTATTTGGAATATAATTTCGTCCCTTTTCAACCGTGTTCTAATTTGGGGACTTGTCGAGTGAATTGGTGCCCAAGAATACTGAGCAATGTCAATAGCTGGGTCGTACTAAGAGGAATTGTAACAGAAATCAAGTTTAGACCATAAATTTGTGTGGGGGTTAGTCGATGAGTGTTAAACCTCACCACTAAGCCAACCACTTAGTGAAGATATTGAGTAATATCATTTTATTGAAATATACATCTATATGATCACCAAATATTGAGGAAGGTAATTGTGTTTGTAGTACAGCTCTTATGTAACACTAGGTTGAAATGGACTTTAGTAAAATATATCGTTTCCCTCCTTACTTTGTTAAGAATATTTTCAACGAGCTACTCATCATCATTCCATTCTGTTTTCTTATAGTGTTTACTCACTATGGTTTAACGAATGACACAGAACCCCTTTGATGCATTCACCGTTTCCTATGCACGTTTTTTTCTTCAATTCGGTATAATTATTAATCAGTCCACTGATCCCATTTGATAGTATATTTAAACCACTAACGTCATTTTACGGATCATAGATAGTACAGTCATACAAACGACTGGATTTTAATAATAACTTACTACTGAGTCACTAGTTTATATTACATGAGATTGGTAACCCTGTGACTTGAGTGTCAAATTACTTAACTTTCAGCTAATTAGTTGTTGCTTCGAATTCCTCTCTCCATATACTTCTGTGTGAAAATCCATAGTGTATTGCTCACTGTCATTTAAACGAACAGTTTGAATTGGTCATCTGTGTTCACAAACTTGTACTTGTTAAATACATGTACACATGAAATTAGATTGTAATATTTTCATGAAGAGCGGTTGAATAATTCAGTAATTATTGAAATAGTAGTATAACTGTAAACATTTCTATTCCGATTCAATACTTCAAAGGTTAAGTGCTATCTGAGAAACCTAAAATGTTCTAAATTTAATCTCTAGTGTGATCGTGGATGCACACTTATGTTTAGTCTTGCAATGCCATCAGATAAAACAGCTGTCAAGAGGTTCCTGGTTTTCAGTGGTTATTTAACTAAGATCAGATCATGAGGTTGTGGATCTTCATCGACTGAGATGGTTGTGTCACGTATTACGCATTCTCAACCACCGATTACCACTGCGCCCAACGTTGACTGGAGTTAGAGACGATTGGAAGAAAGATAGAAGTGGCCAAACCAAAACGTTGCATCAGCGCTTGAAGTCACTGACTTCTGGTCTGAGCCATGTTGGTATATGCAGACTACTTGGTTGGGGTCAGCGTGACTATCATAACCAATGGTTGGAGACTGTGGGTGACATGGCTCAGAATGGGTCACGATGGCGTCGGTGTATACACTCTTTGTCTTCCCTTAAACCATGAAATTAAAATTACTTCATTCCTTTCTTTCTACGAACTAATTCTTTCTTCCTGTACTATGTCCTTATATGCAATCTTTCTTTTTATACATTACTATCATTGAATTAACTACTTTTATGAATTTGGTGTTCATCTTGTCTATGCTAATGAGGTGTGGCAACTTGAACCGATGAATATATGTGCTTGGTCCTACGTTGTAGATGACTGACTGACTGGAATCAGTTCGTCATGTAAACTATGGAATTCAACATTCTGCATAAATACCCGTACACTAAAAATGGCATTAGCTATGGAAATGTAGGCTATATAGATATTGGTCAAAATATCAACAATGTAACAAACCAAACCATTACGAATCAAATTGATTATACTGTAATGATATGTACTATTTTGCTGACTCTCGATCTCTGTCTTTTCATAGAACCTATCATATGTGACTTATACCCCAACAGTTATCTTTCTCATTAATTCACCGTCTTAGTTTGTAACTATTATCTTGGTGAAAATAGGGGTCTTCCACGTATGAATCATACATCATACAGTATGTATGGCTGTGTGTATTTTCGTTGTAAAACTGAGCTACTTTATATGATATAATAACTTAATGATAATCATAATGAATACCCTTTTTATTTATATGTATAATGGTACATGTGATATCAGTGTGTTATGTTTCATTTAATTGTGCTTTCTCTATTGTGATATTCATATACACATACAAACTTATGCATTAATGATTATGACAATAGTAGTATGTTATCTCATTTCTGAAATGTATAGATAAAATAGCTTACATATATCAATATTGTATAGAGTAATAAAGTTTTAACTTTGAACTTCTTTTTCTATGCATCTCTTAAATACATTAATCTATTTTTCTAGAGTTTCATATTATTCTTTCTGGTTAGTAATCAGTTCATGAAGTCATTGACATTTAGACTGGGAACTGTTGTATTAGGTGTAGAATACTTGGTTGGGGTCTGCGTGAATATCGTAATCAGTGGTTAGAGACTTTGAATTATGTGGCTCAAAATCGTTTGCAATAGTTCAGGTGCATCCGTTCTTTGTCTTCCCTCGAATTCTGAGCTTCTGAATTCCTCAATAACTTTTTTCATGTTTTTATTTCATTAATTTATGTTTTCTCGGATCGTATATTCGATGCCTAATCTTTTCAACCATTACTGATACTGGTACTACCTTTAATCTTCTAGGATTTGGCCTAAAAATTTCATCTCTCTATGCCAACGGGCTATAGAAACTTGAATCGATGTACGAACGTACCAGGTTTTACTTTGCTACTGACTGATTAGTGTTGTGTAGTGTAGACAAACATGACGAGAAGAAAAGAGTTTAGAACTGATTGTTCACTGAGTAGTGACCAGTGTCATATATGTTAATTCCTACCTAATACTGCCAGTCAAATTCTAACGATTAAGTTACAATGTGGCTAGTAGTCTAAATGACTTGTGTGCATTATGTTAAAATGTAATCTGGTGTGTATTAAAACTCATGTGCGAGGAAGGGAAACCGATTTATCATCATTTAATGCACACGGTGCTTTCACAAAATCATACATTAAATGCATTATTTGCACATCTCTCTTCAGTTGTTCTGTAAATACTTCCCTTTCTGTTCTCTTCAATTCAATCTTTTGCTGGCAGGAATTTCACTTCCGGTCGGTGCTACGTATTACTTATATCTGTCGACATAAGTAGCCTACACCACAGATGGTTGGAGGTAGTCGACAGGAAACCCTGCCTAATTGAGGTTTTGTGCCACCAATATGTAACTGTAATCTTGAAGAAACTGATGTTGATCATGGGATTTGAGCACGCGTTACCTAGTCTCATAGTCCAAGACGTAACTACTGAGCTATCCATCCTGCAATTGATCTTCTCTAAAACTAACTTATTTACAATTGACTGATCATCGAGTAGTGGTCTCCTGTGTTATTTTTGGCCTAGTCCTTCAGTGTTCACTGAATTCTGTCGACTAAGTTGCACTGTGGTAACGTTGCACACCGTGTAAAGTTGTGCAACACGGGCTCGAATCCTGTTTCGAGCATCTGATCCCTCAAGATTGCAGGTATGGATGCCTCACGACTGCACATTTTCAGACCATTTAGTAAAAATTAATCCGGGATTTTTGAGTGTGAGGTTTGCTAAACAATGCATTTCAAAAGTCTGAGAGTTATCTGTATGAACATATCAGCGAGACGCACTCACAAAAATTTCACGAATAAAAAACACAATTATGGTGACGTTTAGGGAACTTATAATGAAATCTACAATGAAAATTACACTTTATTATGTATTAACTTATAACTAAATTAACAGAAAGTCAACCGAAATTTTAAGTTGCAACACACATTCACTGAATATTGAAAACGCTGACGTTAACCAACTCAACCTTGGATTCCACCGATAAGTTTTAAGTGAAAGGTATTCGTATGATTGTAGATAGTATGAAAATAAAACATAGTATTTTAATTAGAGCAGTGAATTAGACAACAGTAATAGTATGACATTAGTTAATGTTAGAGTTCATAGTTGGCATTGTTCTTAATCGACTCCACATTGGAACTTACTCAAGTCAACTTTTTCATCTCTTCCTGTAGTCTGAGTTTGATTTTTTTTAAATGTTGTCCCCTTATTTCTCTCTTTTTCCCAAATAATGCCGCCACCTTTCATCATCATGTTATTGAGAATTATGTAATTTGAAAATCAGTCAGTAAGTCAGTCAAATGCAACTTAGAACGCCGTAACACTTATGTTTATCACTTCTAGTTTCTATCATCCTAT